GAGAGAGAGAGAGAGAGAGAGAGAGAGAGAGAGAGAGAGAGAGAGAGAGAGAGAGAGAGAGAGAGAGAGAGAGAGAGAGAGAGAGAGAGACCCATGAAGGAGAGTTTGATCACACACAGCAGCATTGAGTGGGGAAGCAACATAATACTAAAGTGAACAGTTGAGGGGGTGAAGGGATGCCAGGGGAAGGTTTGGTCTCAGAAACATCACAGGAAAAAAAAAATTCCACCCCTCACAACGCAATTACTACCCTCCCCCAACCACAGGGCGTAGAAACTACAGGCTGCGCACCCGAGCCTTCATGGTAAGTGAATTGGATCCGTCCATGTATCGGGTCCATGGTAGAATGGTGTGTAGTGTCCACGGTAGAATGCTGTGTAGCGGACGGGGGCTCTTCATTTTGGTGTTCATCCCAGCAGCAGACCCGCGGAGGCCAGGCTGGCGAGTAGTAACTGCCCTCCCCTTCCACCTCGTCCCCCTCGTCCCCCTCCTCCCCCTCGTCCCCCTTCCCCCCACTCCTCTTCGTCGTGCTCCACGTCCATGTTTGTCTTGACAATGCGAGACCCATATTATACATTTACACTGTCGTGGCTATTGAAAGCATCAACGCAGGGCGAGATGTGATGTGATGTGATGCAGCACAGCACCAACAAAACAAACTTCTGTGCGTGCGCGTTCACCCTTCTTGATGAACGCGGGGGACGGAGAAGGGGGTGGGGGGCGACTGCTTCAGGCTACTAGGGTACAGTATAGTCTTTTCTGTAAACCGTTCCAGTTCCAAGTTTGCTGTTCAATTCCAATTTGAACAGGACATGTCCCGCGAAGGACGATGAGGGGGGCACAAATTCGAAGCGGGAGGCAGAAGCGAAAGCAAAGCGAGGCGGAGCGCCTCTACCAAGTGGCAGCGAGCAGAAGCCCCCACGCTGGCGTGGGCCGGTGCTCTCGCGCATCGGCCTAACGACGGCGAGACTGGTGGGCCGGCGCTCGGCCGACGTAGCCCCGCGGGCTCGTGCTGGCGCGTCTCCTTGACGAAACGAATTATGACCAGAGCGCCGGCCCGCGTCCCGCGTCTCCACGCCCACGCCCACGCCCACACCCAGGCCTCGCCAAGGCTGGCAGATCAAATCGGCATTCGTGGGGTCGGTGGAGTTTCCTCACGCCGGTTAGTGAGTGCATGGTGTTTCTTGGGAAGACGTCTCCAATCAAATCGGCAACCGCAGACAAAACCCGCACGCTCAGCGAGTTGGAGAGGTTGGCTGCATTAACCACCTCGCCCTCCTCTAGCACGCTCTGCTATGCGTAGCGGACACTCTTGTGGAAGTTGGGGGGCTCACAAGGAAGCTGGCCTGGGTTTCGCCGGCTGGTATCGTGTAAAGTGTGCGGGAGGAAGGGGTTTCAGACATCGAGCATTTGGTTTGGAGTTTGGGTTGGGGAGAAGCGGAGGGGGGCGGGAGGGAGGGGTGAGCGAAAATCAGATCTGGATAGCCGTGTGTGCGAAAAGGGCGGGGCCAGGGCCAGTTGGTTGCAGCTGATGTCAACGGGCGACTAAGCACACGAACAGACACACATTCAGGCATACTGAAACACATACAGAGAATATATACACACAACACACACATACTCACACACACACATACACACACACACACACACACACACACACACACACACAGAGAGAGAGAGAGAGAGAGAGAGAGAGAGAGAGAGAGAGAGAGAG